CGGTGACTGGGGTAATCGGGATGGGTGTGTCAGAGGCGGTGCGGTTGGCGCAGGATAGAGCAGGGTTTAGGGCTGTTGTGCATAGGGTCGCTTTGAGTTGGAAACGACTTGACGGCACATAACAACAACAACAACAACTTCATTCTATATGTAACAGATAATAAAGTCACAACATTTAGAATATTTTCATTAAAATAACTTGATAAAAGTACAAAAATACAAACCTCTGTTAGTTTACCACAAATTGTGCATCTTGATTTATTCAGAACTCCTTTAGTAGGATTCTGTTTATCTTCATAGAGTGACAAACACGATGTACTACAGAATTCCTGGAAGGACTCACTTGAATCCACTTGAGCAACAATGGTTCCTTTCATTGTGGTTATATCTCTGAAAATTAAGACGTAAAACATAAACTACAAACTTTTAAAATAAACACAATATCAAGAAAAATATACTACTTTTTACGTTACACTGACTCATGATTTCTTCCTGGGAATTAAACAGCGTTTTTGTATTCAGTAAATCAGTATCACCATGAATGAGCTCTTGAAAACAAAATACAAAAGCCAAAAACTGAGAAGCAATTTTGTAACATGGAATCCTTATCTCTATTTAATTAATCCAAATCACAGGTTTACATAACCAAGTAACACAGGTTACTTACACATTAAATATAGAAATGTTGGAAGGTGACAATATTAGTGAGATTTTCCTCTGAGATATTTTCGTTTGGAGTTTCTTCATTCTGTATTTCATTATGCAAGTTTGAAATGTTCTACATGCAAAAATTGTATAACAAATGTTTCAGTATTTAAATATATTAAGTAACTACAATACTGAATTTATTAAAATGGGCACACTAAGCCTTTCCCAGAGTTCTAACTATATTAACAGCTTCACAGAGTGCATTATTGTTATGTAATGTCAGGTCAGAACCAACTCATGGCTAACCCTCCTGGAGGTCTTCAAAGGCACTAAAGTTCTTATTTCTCCCTTGAAGTAATTGGTGGATTCGACCTGCCTGCCTTCGGCTTGGCAGCATACTTCCTTACTAGGAAGCCAACAGAGCTCACTTCATAGACTGAAGCTACTCATAAAGATGGTATAGAGTATCTAGTTCGAATCCTGCAAATAATGTACCATAATACAGCTATTTCCAACAGTGAAAGAATAAATGAAAACTGCAGAAGATAGGACCCGGTTTCTCCAAAGCACACTAACAACTGCTATCAGGTATTTTTTAAAAGTGAATACCCTAAATATCTTAGTGTTATTAACAAATATTAAAAGAGTACACACAATATCAGTTTGATCTAAAGTGTAGACAATTTGACCTATTTTGATAATACAAATAAGTCTTAGAATTAAGTATGTTCCTTTAAAAATTCAAAATCTCCAATGATAATTACAGTCATAACTAATTACAAGGTATTATAGAGGGTCTGTTTGAGGCCAATTTTAGAAACAAATTTTTAAGTGGTCTAGATTATAGTCTCTAGTGGCTTATGTTGGTTGTTGTGTTAACATCAAGTCAGCCCCAACCCCTATCTGACCCTTCTGTGGGTTTTCAGAGACAGTTAACTGCACAGGACAAAATTACCCATCATTCTCCTGCAGAGCAGCAAATTTGAACCCTGTGCCTTTGAGATTGAGGTGCAGTTTCTTACCACTAGGCTTCCAATGCAAAGGTATGTGGTTAGAATCCACCAGTTACTCCACAAGAGAAAGATGAGCAATCTCCTCCCACTTGATGGTTCCAACTCAAAGGCATGTAACAACAGATTATAAAACTAATTTGGGTATTACTCAGGGAGTCTTGGTAGCCACATTGTTTGCTTGGGTGGTCTAGTGGGTAAGGATTTGCACAACCAAACCAAAGGAAGGTGATTTGAATCCACAAGTTGCTCAGAGGGAAAGATAGGAATCCGCTTCTTTGCGATTTACAGCCTCTAAAAGTTTGCTGGACAGTCAGCTGTCAGTCAGTTCCAAGTCAAAGGCCCAAAACATTATCACACAGCACAGAAAAATCACTAAAGATCTTGGTAGAACTGTGGTTAAGGCAACTGGTTAACAAGCCATATATTGGCTGTTCAAGCACCAACCAGCTGTTATATGCAAAAAAAGATGAGGAAGTCTACTTCAGTGAAGACTAAAAGTTTTGGAAAACCATTGAGGCAGGGCAGTTGTACTGGGTCTTATGGGGTCTCTATGAAATGGAATCAGCCTGTTAGCAGTCACTTTGTTTTAGCCTATGAATAATGGATTGGAACCTTGGCCTATCTATTCCGAGCCATCTGCACTGTCTCCACCATGCTCAAATTCAGCGTTGAGGACATTTTGACATTGTCAGTCCATCTCATTGAGGATCTTCATTTTTGCCCTGATCCTCCACTTTTTCAAATATGATGATGTCTAAGCTCCCAACATGTTCACAATATGTGAATCAAAGCATCATTATTCCTGCCTCCAAAGAGGACCCTTGGGTGCACTTCCTCCAAGGCAGATTTGTTTCTTCTTTAAGAGTTCATGCTATGTATATGTTGAATATTTTGTGACCATTTTTTTTTTAGTCTTTATAACTCACTGTTCAACTTCCATACTCATATGAAGCAACAGAAAATACAATTTTTAGAGTGGAGTACACTTTTCTGTATTGTTTTACATTTCAAACTTGCATACTAAAATACAGAATTATAAAACTATAAATCAAAGAAAAAAATCTCAGAGGTCACTAATCATCCTTATTTTGCCATTGAATGAAGATCCAAGCAATAAAATTCTTGCAACTTCAATCTTTTCTCCATCTGTTATCAGACTACTAGTTAATGTAGTTGTGATGATCTTTGCTTTCTTGATGTTGATGTGATTCATACTGAAGATTACAGCCTTTCAAATCTTCAGTTTCAGTAAGCAAGGTATGTAATCTATAAAAATTACTGGTGAATATTCTTGCAATTGTGATGTCACATTTCTCATGTAGTCTACCTACTAAAATTATGAGTTCAGCATATAGACTGACTATGTATAGTTAAAGGATACAACCCTGATGTTCACCTTTCCTGATTTTAAACAACGCAGTATTCCCTTGTTCTCATCAAACAACTGATTCTTTGTCTAAGAAATGGTTTTATGTGAGCAAAAGTAAGTGTTCTGGGATTCTAATTCTTCTCAATGTTAACTATAATTTATTATGATCCACACAATCAAATTTCTTTGCATTTTCCTAACAGTAGGAAGCATCTTTCTGGCATTCTCTACGTTCACCCAAGATCCATCTGACATCAGTAATGACATCCCATTTGCCACAGCCTCTTCTGAATCCAGTTTAAAATTTCTGGTAGTTGCCTAATGATGTACTTACTGTTGCAGCTCTTTTTAAATAATCTTCATCATGCGTTCAGTTGAACATGGAATTATCCTATGACTGACAGCACTATATTTCAAGATAAATCTTGAGATGTTCTTTTGGTGATGAATGAGACCCTAGGCCTCCTCCACTTGTTATTTCTGGCATAAGAGATCATAACCGACTCAGAATGGATAATATAAATCCATTTAACTCTTCTAATATCTAGGATATCCTTCTGTAAGCATTTCATTTTTGACAACTCCAAATTTTACTAGGTTCACACTTCACATATTCTATGTTCTCTATATTAATGAAATTTCGCTGTTTCTCCTCAATTTAAATATTACCACATCAGCAAATGAATGTCCTTCCACTGGGTAAAAGCTTGATTACCTCTATGTCATTGAAGTAGACTCTACGGGGCATCTTTTATACAGGTAAACTTAAGAGTCTTCTAATCTGAGGGGCTCATCTTCTGGTATTATATGCAGACTCTTCTCCACTCACCCCCTTTTTAAAAAATAGGGCTTTGAAGGATCTGTTGTTTCAGAAGTGAATAGCCAGTACTGTTTTGGTTAAGGTACTGACACAAGTAAGAACGGACTCGACGGCAGTAGGTTTAGGCGTTGGTTTATATAAATTAAGGAGCCTTGGTGGTATAGAGGTAAAACACTCCACTGATTAGCAGTTAGAACTCACCACCTGCTCTATGTGAGAAAAGAGCTGGTAACCTGGTCTCATTAAGATTACAGTTTTGAAACCTTATGAGACAGTTCACCTATGTCCTATAGAGTTGCTGAATTGGCATTCAATCCACCACAAAATCTATCCAAATACAAAGCCCTCTATTCAAAAGTAATCTGTGCTTGAAGAATACACATTAAAATCATTAGAAATTTCAAAATTCAATCAACGAGCTTACCAACTTTAAGAATATAATTCATTTTTAAGACTCATCATCTTTTAAAGAAAAGAACTGTATACCAATCAACCATATGGAAAGGAAAGCTTACTTTTTACACATAACACAGAGTTTCTTTGGAGCAGGCTTATGAGAAAAGGAAGAAAGGCAAGTGGTAGAACAAAATAGGTGGGCAGATCCTTTTCGCTGGTAAGCTGTCTGTCCCTTCTGCAAAGGCTTTTTGCAATTTGCACAAGTGACTTTAACTGGTTTAGTGGGTTGCTGCTGGGCAGAAGGCTGGAAAATCTGCTTAGGAAGTGACGCCACTGGTGATAAAGAATCCACTCCAGGTTGTTTCTGGTTACGGGGAAATGAAGCTGACTGAGAGATCCAAGAATCTTAAAAACAAAATGTATTAAAAAAAAAAAAAAAGGTAAACAGTTAGTTATTTACATGAATTAAAATCTGTATCAGAAGTAGTTTTAATTTCTCATTCTCCGCAAATTTAAGAAGTTAATAAGACAATAACATAGCAGAATATAGACAAAATTTTTGGAGTAAGAACATCTGGTGCAAATGTCAGCTTTATTATTTATTGGTTGCATAAATTATTTAAACACAAGGCCCATTCTTATCCAAAATTAAAATGGTACTAATCATTTAAAAATGTTCGCGTTTAAATAAGATAATACAGGTAATAAAGCATGTAATATGTAATGGCCACCCTACAGTAAGTACTCGAAAATATTAACCATTGGTTATTATCAAGTAGAAAGCAGTCATGAATTTACAGCATATAAAGTAAGGTACATGTACATTCACATGCACGTAACAACATACTAACCAACTAGAAATCTAGAACTCTGCACCACTGGGGCAAAGGTGTGAGAAACTTTAAATATCATTTTTAAAATAATCTATGCAACTACTACAGCGTTTTCATATACCTCTTTTTAGTTCAGGAGACCATGGGCATCAGAAGTTAAGAGGCAGAGTGTTCACAGAAATAATGCCATTAAGCCAGTACATAAAAAGTAAAAAATGGCAACATCACAGTACAATTTCAACATCATTACTTATCTTTTCTTCTTAATACTAGCAACAAGTCTAACTATCTACAGTCACTACAGTTCCACAAATCTCTCACTACAGGATCAATATGTTTTTGGAAATTGTCAAATTTACTTGGAGAGGAAAGAGATACTGAATAAGCAAAACACTTCTGAGAAACAAAAATCAGTAGGGAGGCATAGTACTCCCTGACCTTAAACATACTATACAGCAGTAGAAACCAAAACAGCATGGTAACAGTACAATGAGAGACACATAGACCAATGCAACAGAACTGAAAACCCAGAAATAGATCTATAGTCGGCTGATATTTGAAAAGAAAATCAAATATCAAGTGGGGAAATGACAATCTCTTCCACAAATAATGCTGGCTAAGGATCCACATCTCACACCATACACAAAAATCTACTCAAGGTGGATCAGAAACCTGGGAGTAAAGCCCAAAACCATAAAGTTCATAAGCAACAAACTGGGATCAAGCTTAGAAGGCCTAGTCAATGGTATACAGACTGCCAAATATGCATGGGACCTTCTAAAGATTAAATCCTAGTGTGCATCAAAAAGTTTTTTCAGCAGGGTGAAAAGAAAACCTACATCTCAGACAAGAATCTCATAATAAAAGTTTACAGAATACTTCTGGGTCTCCACAAGACAAAAACTGTTACTCTAATTACAAAATAGGCAAAAGACATGGAAAGAATTTTCACAGAGGAAGATACTCAAATGGCCAACAGACACATGAAGAAATGCTCCAAATCACTGGTAATAAGAGAGATGCAAATTAAAACCACAATGAGATACCACCTCACCCCAGCACTGTCAAAGTTTAACAGAACAGGAAGTAATAAATATTGGAGACAATGTGGTGAGGTAGGAACTCTTACACATTGTTGCTGGGATCATAAAATGGTACAACCCCTCTGGAAGGCATTTTGGTGCTTCCTCAAAAAGCTGAACATAGAAATTCCATATGACCCAGCTATTCCATTGCTTGGAATATACCATGAGAAAATAAGAGCTGAGGCACAAACGGAGATTTATACACCAATGTTCATAGCAATATTATTCACCATCGCAAGAACATGGAAAAAGCCCAGATGTCCAACCACGATCAAATGGATTGAGAAATTAAGGAACATGCATATAATAGAATTACTACACAGTGTGAAGAAACAATGAATCTGTAAATTATTACCTAGTTTTGGAGGGACTGGAGAGCATTATACTGAGTGAACTGACTCAGTCACACAAGGACAAATATTGTAGAAAACCATTATTATAGAATTAGTATGAAGATGGGGGTGGGTGGAAGCAGAAGGATAAGGATGTGCAGGGGAAGGGTGGATTAATCATGGGGTTGTACAATTTGATGGGGATCAGGGAAACTGGAAGAATTTTGTCTGAAAATGTATTTAAATTTTGTAAATAAACCAGCATAATTTAAAAAAAAAAAAACCAAAACACCACCAAACAATGTTTTAATTTTGCCTTTAATTTCTATTACTTTGGTTTCTCAGTATATTTATTACTTTCCAATGATTTCCAAATTTTGTATTTCCATTGTTGTGGTGGTTGTTTTGTGCCGGTGAATCAACTCTGATTCATAGCGACTCTATATTCAATAGCTCTGAACCCTGATCATTTCTGAGCCAATTTCATCCTCTTTGACACACCTACCCCCATTACCCCAGTCACTGAGTCAATCCATCTCATCTGGTGTCTTCCTTTCTTGTGCTGTCCCTCCACCTTTCCAAGCATGATGTTCCTCGCCAAAGACTGGTCCCTCCTTGCAACAAAGTATGTCAGATGGAGCTTCAAATTCCTAGGCTCAAAGAGAAACTTGGGTTTTACCCCCTCCAAGACACATCTATTTGATTTCTTGGCAGTCCATGGTATGTTCAAAACTCTTCTCCAACACCACAACTCAAAGACATCAATAATTCTTCTGTCATCCTTAGTCATTATTCAGCTCTCTGAGGCACAGCAACTAATTGTGAATACAACAGCCTGGATTAGATGCACCTTAGTCTCTAGACTGACATGCTTGCTTCTCAGCAGTATTCAGGAGAATATTTTCTTAGTGCAATTTGTCTTTTGATTTCCTGAGTCATACTTGATAGCACTTAACACCACTATCACGATGGTTCTAAAGGGCTCTTAATAAGGCTACTTAAACTTTGCCTTCCTCGATTAAGAATATCCTAGAATTTATTTTCATTAAAGTTAATTAATTAAAGAGTATATGACCAAAACAAAAACAGTAACTCATTACTGTTCAGTCAGAATCAACTTATCACTCACCCTCCAGTGAGTTTTCAGGAACTGTAAATTACAGCCTTCATTGTTCTAACAAGCAGCAGGTCCTTGGAGAGGGACATCATGCTTTGGAGGGGCAGTTCAAGAGAGGAAGACCCTCGATGAGATGGATTGATTCAGTGACTGGAGTAATGAGTAGGTGTGTCAGAGACAGTAAGTTGGCTCACGATAGAGCACAGTTCAGAGCTGATGTGCATAGGTACAAGTGACTTGACAGTGCATAACAATCACAAACAGGAAAAAAATAATTCTAATAAGTAGCTATTTCATCTGATGATGGAAATAAAAGCTTTCAATAAAAAATTACATCTATTAAAAGTCTAAATGTGAAAACTAAAATCCTAAATTTCTTAGAAGGGCGTGACTGTGAACCTAGTTTGTTCATGGCTATGAACCTAATTTTAAATGATATGCTAAAACAAAAAGCATAAGTAGAAAAGAAAAACAGATAAAGGAGAACTCACAAAAATTAAATATTTCTGTTTATCAAAGACTTTATGAACAAAGTGGAAAGACAATCTACACATTGGGAGAAATTTTCCAGGAACTATATTATATATTCATTATATAATATAAATTTGGTATGTATGTTGTTGTTGTTGTTAAGTGCCGTCGAGTCATAGGTTACTCATAGCAATCCTATGAATGAAAGACCTGAACACCTATATAACTTTCATTCTTTCTCCAGGTTCATAGGGTTTCCAGAGGCAAGATATTACAGAGGTGGATGCCACTCCTGCTTCCATATAATATATATATAATTCTGTGACACTGATGTGTCAAATGTGATAATGGTTACACATGGTTTGGTAGAGCTTCCTGATTAAAATAAGCTTGGAAGCAGGAGTGTCATCCACTTCTGAAATAGCTTGGCTCTAGAAACACTGTGAACCTAGAGAAAGATGAAAGTTATACAAGTGTCCAGGTCTTTTGTTCATAGGGTCACTATGAGTCACAAGACTTGATGGCATTTAACAACAAACCACAACAACATATTATATATTCAGTAAGAATCTAATAGCCAAAATATATTAAGAAAAATCTCCTACAACTTAGTAACAAAAAGACAAAAACAATTCCATTAAAAAAATGGGCAGAGAACTTGAACTTTGAAATTTTGCGTAAGACTGAAAGATGCCCTACTCCATCCGTAGCTGCCCTTAGGGAGCTCTGGTGTGTGCTCCACTAGGTACTGCACTACTAACCCACATCCACCAGCAGCTCCACAGAAGGAAGATCTGCAATCACCTCCCAAGTGACTGATAGCCTCAGAAACACCTGTCAGAGGGTCTGCTGTGTATTGCTTCCAACATGACAATGAGCTGAGCTATTCTTATTACTAAGTACCACTGAGGAGATTCCAAATCAGAGCAGCCTGACATATGCAGAGGACAACTGTCTACAGCTTTTCCAAAGGCTTGACGTTTTAGAGGTAGTTAACGAAAGCCATTTCAATTTCACCAAAATAGATATTCAAATGGCCAACAGTACATGAAACATCATTAGTCATCAAGCCAAACCTACTGTCAGCAAGTTGGTTTTGAATGATGACAACCCACTAAGGTTGACTGTTGTTAGGTGTCATCAAAAAGAGACAGTATTTTCCCCAAGTAACAGACAAGTGGATTCATACAGCCACCTTCCCAATAGCTGCGCAACATTCCACACTATACCACTATAGCTACTTAGAGAGTAAAAAAGTACAAGTATCACTTTACCCCTATTACAAAGCCAATGATCAACATGAAGCATAGAAAACAACAGATGCTAGGAAGGATGTATAGAAACATTACTGGTAGTAATATAAAATGGTACAATGTCTGTGGAAAATCTGGTGACTTCTCATAAGGTTGAACACAGAACTACAGTATGACCTTACACCTCCAATATAATAGATTCAGAAGCGGTGAAGGAGTGAAAACAGAATTCTGTACACCAATGCAGTACTTTTCACAGCAGTCAAAAGATGGAAACAGCATTGGTTGTACAGTGGTGAGCATACATGCCTTCCAAAAGATGGAAACAATCTCAATATCCAACCACCTAAGGAGTAATCAAAATGTGCTTTATGTACATGAAATAGAGTGCTGTTACTAAAGGCATTCTGCAACTCAACAGTAACCCTATACTATGAATTGTATAGTACAGTCAAACTATACAGTTTCAAAAGAAACTAAGTTGATATATGCCAAACCATAGATGAAGCTTGAAAACATGTTTACCAAAATAAGTCATTTCCAAGGAGACAGGGTAGTGATAGCACTTATATAAAAATAATCAAACATACAGAAACCAATGGTAATTAAAGATAAGAGAGTGACAAAGGAAGAGGTTTTGATTACTGAGTATTGTATTTGTTAACGGTGGCTGGATGACCTGGGAAAAGATAGCAAGAATGGCTTCCTAACTTAAAGAATGTAACTCATTTCACTAAATTGTATGAGCAGGAATTGTTAGGATGGTAATACTACCCAAAATGTTACGGATCATAACAGCCCAACACATGAAGTAATCATGAGATAAGGTCTGAAATTTGGAAACAACAAAAATTATGTTCAAATCCTTTCAATCATGCAAAATACACTTTAAGTTAGGGAAAAAAACCAAACAAACAGGAAATAAGATTATAAAAAGTTACAATACTACTAGGTTAAAAAAAATATTAACAGTGGTTACTTACAGGATGAAAGTCACGCACACAAGTGTTGAGGACTTTCATTCATAGGGTCACTATGAGTCGCCTACGACTCTATGGCACTTAACAACAACTTACAGGGTTGCTATGAGTTAGAATCTACTCAAGAGCAGAGATTTCCCTTCATTTTTAATTCTAAATTTTTTTCAAACATTCTTCAGTAATTAGGCATTTCTCTCATAGTGAGGAAAAGAAGAATCATTACCACTTCACAGAATACTCCTAGGTTTTAGTTATTCCTTGTTCCCAACAATTCATTGATTGGTAAAGTTGCTAAAGACCCTCAAGTGATGGAACTATGAAACACAGAGAAAGACAGACAGATTGAGGCAAAGAGACAAAGGCTCAGGAAAAGTTATAGAAAGGGACATACATAGGCATGGTCATTAAAAGGCCACAGGTATAACTCCCTATTTTAATGCTTTCACAGAGCAATGGTGCACACACAAAATTTTTTCAAATAAACAACTTTGAAAATTAATATAAAGCTAACTTAAAAGACAAAATCAGAGATAGGCAGTGAAAACAAACACATATCCACAGGTAAAAAATCTTTTTAGTGACATGAAAAATTTTTATTATAATATATTTATTATTATACAGTATGAATCTGTTCTTTAATTTTGCTATTATAACTTCCTTTTTCTAATGTTGTATTAAAATGCTAGTAAAAAGATACTAGCCAAAAAAGTGAGTGTTGTTTTACAGTTGAGTCAGAACTGACTGACCCAAAGCTGACCCTCCAGTGGGTTTTCAGAGGCAGAGGCAGTTAACTGCACAGGAAGAGAGTGCCTATCCGTCTCCCACAGAGCAGCTAGTGGATTCAAATCATACGCCTTTGGGATTGAAGCACACTTTTGTGCCACTAGACTACCAGGGGTCCCTAAAAGTGCTACTCAAAAAGTGAGTAGTATATAAAAAATAAGATGCCAAACTGTAAACAAGCTGATGGTAAATGCAGAATTTTTCTTAAAAAAAAACACAAACCCTAGTGGCAAGAAACCGTGCTGCAATCCTGAAGGCGCTTGGTTCGAATCCACCAGATGCTCTGCTGGAGGAGGAGGAAAAATCTCCTCCTGTACCAGTCAGATCTGATTTGACGGTACACACACACAAAAAAAATAATAAAAATTTAAAAAAAAATTTTTTTAAAAAACCCTTCTAAATATCTTTAATTTTCTAATAATTCCAAATATTAAAATGTGAAGCTTAAGATAAAAGTCAACACAATTAAAATCTTTCATAAGCTGAAACTAAACAAAAGAGCATTAATTAATACAATGGGAAATTACCAGCCTTAAATTTAAACTCAAATACATGAGCAGAGACTATCACCAGATGCTTACCAGGACTATGATGAGGTGCAGATTCTCCATTTTGAAATACATCTCCTGCCACATTCATTCTACCAGGATTAAAAGGTCCCACTCCAGTCTTTGTCTGTGACGTTAAAGATGGGGTGTACGTTTGTATATTAACACCAAAGTTACTTGACTGCAGTCCATTAGAGACTTCTCCCAAGTTCGTGTTCTGCAGTGATGTTACATGTGTAATCATTAAGTTCATATCACGCCCATCAGGATTCTCTAATTGGCCATCATTCACAGAGCTTACACCTGTTTCTAAGGTGGTAACATTAGCAATCTGAATTTCAGAGTCTGGTTCTGTGGTAATACCACTATTAGCCATTCCTGTGTTTACCTTACTTCTTGCAAAACTGGAAGTGGAGAAATCCACATCATTGGTTCTGTTTTTCGTTTCAGGAGGTCGTCTTTCAATAAAATTAGAAGAATTCTTCTCTTGTCCTTGATTTGTTTCTATGTCCTCTTCATCATCAATGATAATAGTTTCACTCACACTTCCCTTCTGAGAAGCTAAGTCTTTTGAGGAAGGAAGGCTTTTAGAATCATTTCCTTGCAGTTCTTCACTTTTTGATGATGTAAATGTTATAGTTCTTTGATCAGCCACCACTGGTGCAGAAGATGGAGGAGGCTGTACAGGTTCAATAAAAACAACATCATCATCATCTTCCACCGAGGAGTTCTGAAATTTATTAGATCTAGAGATTAATGGATTAGATTGACCACTAAAAGTATTTCCTACATTCGTGAGACTAGTTGCCATGGTGGTAGTAGCTCCTAATGCAGCAGGAGTCTTTTCAGTCAATTCTAATCCTCCCACTGACCCTGTGTCCATTCCAAAGAACCTGTTAGGGAGAAGAGAAAAATAATGAAAATATCAGTATATTTTTCTGATTGCTGCTACTAAATTTGAAATAATGGGTGTGAGGAACAAAACAAAAAGCGCATTTCCATTTATTTTGTGTGCTTCATGACTGTCATTCCTATGTAACTTTCATAAAAAAATTAATATCTCTATCTTCTTTCACTCATTCTCATTAATTATTTAATATAATTCACATGTTAACTTCTGTAATATAAAAAAGTATTCAAATTTTCAATAGTTATTTAAGTACATTCCTATCACAGTTCCGTCTTCATCCTCCCCATTTTTTTGTTATTTTATATTGGTTCGCTTAGTTTGCATACATTGTGTACACTAATGTTCGAAGCAGCATTATTCACCATCACAAGAACACAGAAACAGCCCAAATGTCCACCAAAAATAAATGGATTGAGAAATTGTGGTATATTCACACAAAAGAATACTATGCAGCACTTAGGAACAACGATTTAAAAAACTACTACATAACTTGGGAGAGAATGGAGAGCATTATGCTAAGTGAATGAACTCATTCTCCTAAGGACAAATACTGCATAAGACGATTATTGTAAAAATAGAAGGATTAACAAGGGAGTTCTGAAGGCCTTGTGGCAAGAAGCTGCACTGCAATCCCAGAGGTATGCAGTTTGAATCACCAGATGCTCTGCTGGAGAAGGAGTACCAGTCAGATATGATTTGACGGTACACACACAAAAAAAAATTCTGAAAAAAAAAGGATAAGTAGTAAAACATGCATGGGGACCCAAGAGAGAAAGAAGCAGAGGGGTGATGACAATGAGTAGGGATGAAACCACAGGGTGGTTGTTCCTTCTTTTTAAAAAAATTTAAAAATTTAAAGTGCCAGAAGCACGGTCATTTAATTGATTCTGACTTTTAGCAACACTCCATCCAGGTTTCTGAGGCTGTAAATCACCACAGAAGACGATCCATCTTTTCGCCAAGGAATAGCTGGTGGATTCAAACAGACAACCGATAAACAGGGCAACATGCTATGCCACTAGAGCACCTAGGCTGAATAGACTTCTCATGAAAAATAGAATTAGTATGTTAAGAATTTTGAAATGACAAGGGATTTTTTCCAAAGGGGCCTTAATGCAATCAAAATTGTCTTATTTCTACTTTTTCAAGTGTGAGTGAAAACTGACAAAACAAACTGGCTTTCCATTCAACCATTCACTCACATTTTGCTCTGTAACATTATTTATGATACCCACAATGCAAATACTCTTCTCACCTCGTCCTTTGTAATTCCTACTCCTCCAACCTACCCTTTCCAGACCTCAGAGCTGTACCCTTGGGCAAATATCACTCATCAGATCTGTATGGCTAGTTACTCTAAGGAATCAGTAAGTGTCTCCCTGGTGTTAATAATGCTCACTCTAGGCCTGTGATGCTGGAGAAGAGTACTGAATGTACCATGGACTGCCAAGAAAACAAACAGATTCATTGTACAGAGGGTTAAACCAGGCTGCTCCTTGGAGGCAAAGATTCTGGGGCTTCGTTTGGCATACTTTGGACATGTTGCAAGGAGAGACAGGTCTTTGGAGAGGGACATCATACTGGGTAGAGTAGAGGGACAGCACAGGAGGGGAAGACCCTCTATGAGGTGGATTGATTCAGTGACCGGGGTAATCGGGATGGGTGTGTCAGAGGCAATGCGATTGGCACAGGATAGAGCAGGGTTTAGGGCTGTTGTACATAGGGTCGCTATGAGTCGCAAACAACTCGACGGCACATAACAAAAACAACAACAACATAGGCCTGTTTACTACCGGCTGAAAGCTGCGCTATTGGAGTGAGTTTTGTTTCAAAGGTGGCTAAGAGCCATAGTTTTAGGGACAAATGCTTTTATAAAAGGGAAGCAGAAGAATACAAACACAAGAAACATTACAGAGGCAGAGACTGTGGAGAAATGTAAACAAAACAGCCACCAGAAACTTGAAGAAGCAAGAGATCCTTCCCTGAGCCTCCAAAGTATGGCCCTTCTGACACCTTGACTTCAGCTCAATAAACAAAATTTTGGATTTCTGGTCTCTAGAACTGTGAGAGAATAAATTTCTCTTATATTAGAGGCCAAACTTATGGCAATTTGTTAAAGCAGCCACAAGAAATTAGGGTGATGCACTTCTTAGTTAAAACTTCAATATAAACTTTAACAGAGATGGGCAACCTTCTCCCATGCGACTTATAGCCTCTGGAAACTCACAGGATGGTTCAAATTTGATAGCAAAGACTTTGATTTCTGAACACGACATTAATTAAAAACAAATCAAAACCCAATCAACAATAGAGTGCAAATTAAGTTTTAGATAAGGTCATGAGAGAAGACTTCCTTGACAGGTTACATTTACACTGAAATGTGAAATGGTAAAATCTAGCTGTGAGTAAATTCAAAGAAGAGCATTCTGGGCAAAGAAAACAGCTCTAGTAAAAATCAAGAGGGAATGAGGTTAGCTAATTCTAGAAACAAAATAAAGGCCAATGTAGGTGGGACAAGGTAGGTAAGGGAAGAGTGATGTGATAATGATAGAAATAAATATAAAATAATTCACCATATTCTTAAGTCTAGACCAAGAGGTTACTGTGAAAACAGAGCAAGGGAACACTATATGGTTTAAAATTAAAAAGGTGTGTGTCAGGCTTGTATCCTATCCTATACCTATTAAATCTGTATGCTGAGCAAATTATTCGAGAAGCTGACTCTATGAAGAATGTCAGCAAGATCAGAGGAAGATTGACTCATCAATAAACCTTCATTATGTGGGTAACACAACCTTGCTTGCTTAAAGTGAGGAAGTGAAGAGCCTGTTACAGCAGGTTAAACACTGCAGCCTTCAATATGGATTACATCTCAATGTGAATAAAAATACTTGTCACTGGGCCCACAGGCGACATTGTGATATATGGAGAAAAGATTGAAACTGTCAATGACTTCATTTTACTTGGATCCACAATCAATACACTTGGTACCAGCAGTTAGGAGAGCAGATGTATTGCATCGGGAAAGACTGGAGTCAGGGATCTCTCCAAATTATTGAGGAACAATTATGTCAGTTTGAGGCCAATGGTGCACTTGGTTCTGGTCACCATCTTTTTCAATCACCTGCTATGCATCTGAGAGTTAAAAAATGAGTAAGAATATAAGAAGAACAAATGCCTTTATCTGTGATGTTGGAGAAGAGCATTAAACATTCCATGCATCACCAAAAGAACAGATAAGTATGTCTTGGAGACAGTGCAGTCTATGTACTCCTTGGAGGCAAAGATGATAAAGCTTCATCTCACATATGTTAGGCATATGTAAGGAAATGTTATTCCTTGGAAAGACATTATATTTAAAAGGGTGGAAGGATGGCAAAGGAGAGTGACACTGAACAACAGGCTCAAGTGTGTCAGAGATTGTGAGTATGACGCAGGATAGGACAGGATTCAGATCTGTTGTTCAAAAGGTCGCTATGAGTTATACTTGATTTGACAGCACCTAACAATCACAAAAACAGCTTTGAGGCCCCAAACACTGAGCCGCAGCTGAGAACTCAGCTGCGTCCCCCTCAAGCCCCCTTGCTTCCCAAAGCTCTGTCGTCCCCATCCCCCACCTTCTCCCGCCACCACCCTCCACAGGCCGTTTCCACCAAGGAAAAGAAATTGGATCATTATGTCCGCTATCCAGAACCTCTACTCTTTTGACACCTTTGCTGATGCAAGTAAGGGTGATGACCTGCTTCTTGCTAGGACTAAGGATTATATACATATAAGAATTCAACAGAGAAACACAGGAAGACCCTTACAACTGTCCAAGGGATTGCTGATGATTACAATAAAAAGAAACTAGTGAAGGCATTTAAGAAGTTTGCCTGCAATGGTACTGTAATTGAGCATCCAGAATATGGAGAAGTAATTCAGCTACAGGGTGATCGGCGCAAGAACATATGCCAGTTCCTTGTCGAGATTGGACTGGCTAAGGACGACCAGCTGAAGGTACATAGGTTCTAAGTGCTCACTGAAGCTTAAGTGAGGATTTCCTTGCAATGAATAGAAAATTTCCCTTCTGTCCCTTGTCACAAGTATAAAACTTCACTGCTTGTATAATGTAACCATTTGGGGTCCACTTTTAACTTGGACTAGTATAACTCTTTTATGCAATAAACTGAAAAGAGCCATAAAAAAAAAAAAAAACCAAAACCCAGCTTTGAAAAAGACACTTGAGAAAAATCAGTAAGTACATGCAACAGTGAATGAATTTTTTTTTTTTAAAAAGCAAACCGGGATGGGGGTAGGGAGGAAAATATCCAACAATGAATGAATGAAAATTCCCACTTTTCTGTAAACTTTTATTAAAATCACAATAAAATCAGTTAGTAAACCAGGCAAACCAACAGAAAGCATGGCATCTAATAGCAGAAGTTTCAATTATCCTTTTTATTGCAGAGTTTTGAGTAAAAGGCTGGCATGATCTCACTTATGTTTGGAATAAATCCTTCAAATGACTGGAAACAAAGTAATTATATGGCTGTTTTAATTGATGAGGGTGAGTGGTGATAGTAGCTTCAACAAGGATGGTTAATAGAAGATTAAAAAATAAACAGAGTAGGGATTTTTTTTTCTTTTTAATCAAAGGCAGGGTTTACTAACCTGTAACATTTTCTAAGATATATTACCTAATGGAGAAAAAAACCTACAGAACACTGAATAGAAATAGAATTTATGCATCCTCTGAACAGACATACATACACTCTCACTCTTGTTCTAACAATATAGTGAGCCAAGAAAGGTAGAACATGTGGGTAGAGTATGTGGTCAACATATTCTTAACACTTTAGAGTTCACTGTAGTCTAGAAAGGGAGCTCTGGTCGCCTAGTGGATAAAGAAGCTGCTCTGCTAGCATACAGACAGACTGGTTTGAAATCTACCAGCTGCTCCAAAGATAGGCAATCCCCTCTTGTGTGATTGCTATTCTCTGG